ATATCCATTCGTGATTTATGGTCAAAACCATTACTACGTAAATGTTTACTCATTTCTGCCATGACTCATGTTGCTCAACAGTTCACTGGTTGTTTTGCGGTAAGTCAACCGATGACGTGACCAAGTGCAACTTTTGTTTTCCTTGTCTTGTACAGATTTTCTTCTTCGGAGACATTATACTTTACCATGCACGTCTACGTATGGATTATACGTCATACGCGATGTTATCCTGTGGAATTACGTATCTGGCAGTGGCAATATCATTGGTTTTTATTCTGGATAAAGTTGGACGGCGCTCATTATTGCTCTGTAAGTTATCAGACATGATTTTATTTGTTAAGCATTGAGATTTTTCATATCGTTTGCGTACAGATGGTTTCATTGGTATGGCAGCATCGTCATGCGTCATTGGTGTTACTATTCTCAAATCAAAAAATGTAAGTCTTATTAAAACGCTGACAACCATTGTATGTCACCTTGTTTGTTGATTCCGATGTGAAGTCATATCTATAGCTCGTGTATGGAAAGATATAATCTATAAACTTTTACTTTAGATTCCATTGTTTCATATGATATTTTTGGAAATATTTGCAATGATGGCAAATGTTGGGTTCTGTGCAATGGGGCCTGGTAATATATTCATTCTCCTAACCTATTAAATATTCATTTTTGAAAAGGCGCTATACCATGGATGTTATCAACAGAGATGTTTTTTCAATCGGAACGCGTTTATGCATCAAGTGTTGCCATTATTGCCAATTGGCTATCAATGTTTGCTGTAATTATGACATTTGTACCACTTTTCGTAAGTTCATTCTAGACTTTTTACATTTAATGTGATCTTTACCTTTCAGTATGCTGTCGGTGCATTGCTGTTTCTCGCGTACGCTGCCATGAGTTGTATCTTTTGGCTATTAACTTTTCTTTTTGTACCGGAAACCCGTCGAAAAATTCCAGAACGTGTGCAGATTCTTGTTGCCAAAGGCACTGTCTATAAAGCAAAACATCAACAATAATCCTATTCTTATACTGTTAAACAAGCCTAGTCATCTCTTGAATAATTATTTAACCGTTGGCATGTCATAGGTCTTTGATCTGTTCGACAAACGAACGCAATGTCTTGTATATATACATATGAATCATTATCTATCTCAGCTCATTCTTACTCCAGCATACTATATGAGAAGTTGTTTTTTTCTCTTTGGTTTTGTCGTAATTATACTTCTTTATTCTGAATTTATTGCATTTATATTCTTCTTTTTCGCTGCGTTTGTTTTGTGAAAATGTTCAACGATAGTTATTCAATTGATTTGCGAAAAATCATTGATCGTCGAGCAAACGATTTCGTACGTACGCTTTTCTCTTGTGGTAGAATAAATTTGAAAAAAATTATTACTAAGAAAGCACATTCACATATCTTTTTTCTTCAAACTGTTGCATCAACAGCGCATGTTTTAGATAAGAGATATCATACAAGCGTTTCTTTTCTCGTAAAAAAATGGTGAATAGATATACCGACGTGTAAAGCGAGTCCACTGGTTTAATCATGCCATGATTGATTTGTTCTAGTATAAAATATGACGAGTGATTCTCCATCTTCGGCAAATCTATTAGCTAACAATAATTCAACGCTGTCTGATGGCATTCGCGACCCAAATGATGTTTCAACTGTTCTCCCTGACGTTCAGTCTGATAACACTCCTTCTCCTGAACATGTGTCCACTTCGGGCAAGGTTAATTCAGTTGAATAACTGGAAAGAGAAGTTTTCTTCGATTATTTTGGATAGGGTATGACTGGTACATTGTTGTTAGCTGTTTTTGCAGCAATTAGTGGCACTTCTTTTCATTTTGGCTATGCATCGGGTGTGATGTAAGAATTTCGTTTACGAAAATATATACTCTTAAGCTTTCAAGATTTCTTTTTCTGTGACAATTAGAAATGCCCCGCAAGATGTAAGTAGATCATTGTGAGATTTGACCTGTACACAAAAATTGTTTAGTTTATTGAGAGTTTTATCAACGAAACGAATCATCGGCGAAATCCCGATACAAAAGTTAGTGCATCAACTGTCACATTAATCTTGTAAGGAATGATCACTATTTTTGCCGGTTGTATCATCAATCTGTTCTAGTTCGTTAGCTGTTTCGGTCTTCGCTTTAGGTGGAATGGTGGGCGGTCTGTTCGGAGGCTTTATCACCGATCGATTAGGACGGTAAGTAACCATTCTATGTGAGAATATGTCATCGAACGTCTCTTTTGTCTAGAAAGGGTGGAATGTATTTGAATACAGTCGTGTCATTTGTTGCCTGTGTTCTCATGTTCATTTCGAAACCAATTCATTCGTATGAAGTTTTAATTATCGGACGATTTTTTCTTGGACTTGCTTGTGGTAATTGCAATAGAATAATTTTATCGTGCACTTGTTGTAATAATGATAATAACAGGCTATGGGTCATCGGTTGCTCCAACTTATATCAATGAAGTTTCTCCTGTTCGCTTACGTGGCACACTCGGAGCTTCGTTTCAATTGGGAATTGTTATCCTTCTATTTGTTTCGCAAGTGATGGGTTTGGAACAAGTATTAGGTTCTCAAGACAAATGGCATTATGCGTTAAGTATAATTTATCTGCTTCGGAATTTTACATAGAATGTCATCTGTGTATCTGTTAGGTTTACCAATTGTTTTCAGCGTTCTACAAGTAGTTCTACTCTTGTTCGTTCCAGAAAGTCCAAAATATTTGCTGTTGAAAAAGAACAGTCCAGAAGATGCTGAAAAAGGTATACTCGATAGAATAGTGTTCGTTCGTCTGTTCTGTTAAGTTCCAGCGATTGCACGTTGTCCATTTGGGTATACGTTTAAAATGTTCGAGACGTTAAATATTTTTATTTTGACTTTACTGTCTTTTTGTTTATTTCGTTAAAAAATTATAACTTCCCTTTTTATTTACTATCAAGAAAAAGTAATTGTTCATCTTCGTCTTCGAAGAGTCGTTTTCTGAAAAAACGTGGACGTGCTGTCATTGTTTCTTCTTCGCCCGAATCTTCTGGTTTCGCTGTCGTGGATTCTTCATCAATGGTTGAGGGTGTAGTTTCATCCACTATCGACTCTTCCGTTGTTGAACTTGATGGAGTAGTAGACCTGTCAGGGTCGGTTTCGTTATGGGAATCCTTCAGTCTGAACATCAGAGCTGGACTGATCAACAGATATTTACCATCGAAGATTTTCTTCGAAGTAAACGTTACCCATGGCCGTCCTAACTTTTCTGCTAACACACGTGGGATACGAATACTACTTGGTACACGAAAAGTTGACCATTTGTGCGCACCATGTTCCCCCGTCATTTCATTGTCAGAATCTTCATGATGATGATTATGATCACCTGACCATGGTCGGCGTCCTGGACGTGCTACAGCCATGGTAGCGAAAAGGCCCAAAGTGAGAAGTAAAACCGTTGTTGAATACATTCTTTTGGTTAAGAAACACTTTTGAATGATAATCATAACTAGTTCTTGTTGATATTTATAGTCGCGTAGAGTAGTGCAAAGCTCACTATCAACATGTTGACATCGTACTAAGCAGAAGGAAATCTTGTTGGTATTGTAAATCCATATTGTATAGTAGAAAAACAGAACTCTATTTAATACTATACTTTTAAGACGAAAATAAATATATCAATACAGAGTTCGATGAGGACGAACTTTATTTAGTATGTTAAGTAGTACGTACGACAACACGTGACTACGGTAAAACATTTTTAATGTGGAATTCTTGCTGTTTAGCACTTCGATGGCTTCGCGGACATCCGAATGTTCATCACGAAGTCACCGCTATGCAAGTCGAACAAAGTCAAAATCAACAAACGGTACAGCTTTCATCGATAGGTCCTGATCGAAGTTAATTTAGTTGCAATATTTAGGCACGAATGCTTGATTTGTTTACAACACCTACTGTTCGTTGGGCACTGTTTATAGCTGTGTTCCTTCAATTATCTCAGCAATTATCTGGTATTAATGCTGTTATTTACTACTCAACTGCTATTTTCAAAACAGCTGGCTATGATAAGTCACAATCGGAATACGCAAATTTAGGTTTAGGTGCAACCAATAGCGTAGTTACTATAATCAGCGTTTTCCTCATGGATCGTCTTGGTCGACGTATTCTTCATTTAACTGGCATCACAGGAATGTTTTTCACAAGTCTGATATTAGTTATATCTCTGCTGGTTCAAGCCACTCCATTCTGGAATAAAGTCTCGCTGATTATGACTATTCTGTTTGTAGCATTTTTCGGTGTTGGACCTGGTTCAATTCCATGGTTAATTACAGCGGAGTTGTTCAATCAAACATATCGTGTGCCGGCATCGAGCATTGCAGTATTAGTCAACTGGTCAGCTAACTTTGCAGTTGGTCTCGGTTTTAAACCACTGTTTACGGTACACTCTTCTATGACAATAATTGGCACCTCTTTCTCTTTCTTTCTTTAGAATGCTCTTCATGAATACACATTCTTTTTATTCACAGGTTTTTTATTAATCTTTTTCCTCTTAACATTTTTCTTCGTGCCAGAAACGAAAGCAAAGGATGTGGAAACTATCTATGCCGAAATCAACGCCGGTCAAGTCTGGCGAAAACGACAAGCGCCTGTACAATTTATCGAAAATCGTTTCGGTCAAGAGAGCTCTGTGAATTACAGACCTTTACAATCAGCATGAATTCTTACATTTCGTTATCTTGATTCAAAGTTATTAGTTGATTGATTCGATTGCTAAGCATTTTAGTTAGTTTTTTTTATTTCGAATAAAATTCTTGCGCATGGCATACTTTCGTCGGTGAAAGACATCTAGTGTCATCTTTTGTGTTGGTCGTCCTTTTTTGATTGGTCATTTTCGTTTTACGAATGAAAAACTGATTCGATTCCATTCGACTAGAGTAATTTCTGTACTTTACTAGCTTGCGCAATTTCACAACAAGTTCATTCGATATTTTCGACAGAAAAACCATGTCGACTCTTTTAGCAACTCTATCAGAAAAGATACTTTCGAATCCCAGTGAAACCACTCAGTTGGGAATCGAACATTTCAATCAATCATCCAAGCCATTCGATGATCTTCTGGAATATCTTACTCAACTAGCAGATACAGATTCGAGCAGTAAAAACTTCAATTTAATCGCTTATCTTCTTCGATCATTCTCACAATGGAAGAATCAATTCTACAAATCTTCGTCTCTACCGCAGTTCGACAACACTGTCGTGAACAATCTTCTTTTGCAAACGTTACCATTAACATTTCTGAAAGATTTTCTGCAAATATTTGAAATATCTAAAGAGCATCTATTGAGTTTAATCCGAACTTCATTAAAATCGCCATCTCATTCTTCAATTTACAAACGTGCATTGAACATGATCGTTACATTAGATTACCAATTAGAATTTCAACCCAATGAAATTCTTCTACCATTGATTTTAACGTCGAAAGATCACTACATCGATATATACTTGAACAAAACTCGTCAATATGAAGTCTATCTTTTGAAATTGCTCAATCATTTACACGAGCAAAATGGCAAGCAACTCTCGGAAATTTTAGCTAATGAATATCAAATGAAGGATGTGCCATTTAGTAAGAAGAATGTATCAAAACTAGCTGTGCGCTATTGGAATTTGCTTGGGAATGATGAGGATGAAAATTATCCGAATTTGAAGATTTTACAGCAAAAACGAACGTTAAGCTTTCTTCTCAATACAAGATATAATGGCCTCAACGGTGAAAAAACGATGAGTGATGAATGCTGGAATGAATTAGTTGGAGTAAATATCAGTGAAATGAAAGAATAAGATTTCTGAGATTTTTATTTTCAAGGAAATCGTACAAGATAATGCAGATTTGTCGGAATATTTGATTGAAATGCTTGCAGATAAAGATGATATCGCAGCTGTGAAGTACTGGAGTAAATAGTACTTGATTCTTGTGATTTAATAAACAATTTTGTATTTAGTGGCTCAACTTGACCGACCGTATAATTCATTACCGACATGGGTAGGCAAAACAAGTAAAAAGTTCACGTAATTCGAATTCTTCCTAAAGGTTCAACAATATATTCACCTCAAACAAAATAATGAAGTCAAAAGCACAAAACCGGTTGAAACGGTTTCGAATAAAATCGATTATTATCAAATACCGCTGGCAGACGAACAGATTATTTTCGTCGATTCAATACCGACCTTTGAACGTTTAATGACTCGATTATCCCAAGCTGATAATGAAGAGTTTTGCATTGGATTTGATTGTAAGTTTTCATCTGAATCTCTCCTGACTCTTACATCGGTGTTATTTAGGTGAATGGAAACCGGTATTCAACAATACTCTAACGTCGAGACAACGTATTAGTATAATGCAGCTGGCATCCTCAAATGAAATATATCTACTCGATCTACTTCATTTTTTCCGAACCTGTGATCCTGAAACAGTACAACAGCAATTAGCTAATCGTTTATTTGATAATGACCACATAACATTATTAAGTAAATTACCATGAAATATGGAGAATTTTTTACAAATAAAATCATTCATTTCTAGGCTACGGATTTAAAACCGACGCTGCAATGTTGATTGCTTCTTTCCCAAGTTTCGAACGAGCATTATCATCAGGCAAAACTTTAGTGGATCTCTCGGTTGTCCAAGCTGAGGTATATTGACTTGACGTTCCCTTTCTATCCCATACTTTGATTTTATCTATTTAGCTTTTGAGTATGCAACGTGATATATTTCCTTATGTAGCTGTGGATAATAAGAGCGCATCGAAAGACAAAGGTCTTAGTGAATTAGTTCGTCTATGTTTCGGGAAACCGTTGAATAAATCGGAACAATGCTCGAATTGGGAACGAAGACCATTGCGACGTGCTCAAACTTTATATGCTGGTAGATTTGATTGTATTACAAGAAATTCTCATATTCAGCGTTTATTTTAGCGACCGATGCTTACTGTTTGCTTGACGTTTACAACTTTATTGCCAATCATTTTCGATCTTCGGACTATTTGCAATCATTTCGTGGGAAAAAACCGAAAAATCTGGCTTCGGCTGTAGCGCGTCAGATTGATGAAAATTTCCATGAAACGGATCTCGGTAATAATAATAATAACAGTTCTTCTCCTCAACTCTCAAACGATACGATTCAAGTAAGAGAGATGAAAGATTCTTTCATTTAAATTTCATTTCATTCGCAGACTTCACACGAAACCATCCGTCCTTCTCAAATAAAATTTGTTGTCGATAACATGTTATACGGTTTAGGAAGAGAATTACGTGTAGCAGGCTGTGATACAGTCATTTTAGCTAATGAAGAACCGCATACCGCAGCTATTCGAGTAAGTCGATAGAATAGAAGAACCTCCCTTTAATATTATTTTATTATTCGCTTGATGTTAGTATGCTCGATCAGAAAATCGTATTATTTTATCTCGTGGTGCACCATATAATCTCGTAAGTGATTAGAAATCGAATTTTACGTTCAAATTTGTATGTTCTCCTCGATTAGTTACGATCTCACACAGTTGAAGGTCGTTGTTGGCAACCACCATTGAATGTCTCAGCTAAAGAGCAATGTGCAGCAGTTCTACGACATTTCAATGTGAAAGTCTTACTAGAAGATATCTTTAGTCGATGTAGCGTAAGTTTAGCTTGTCTCCTCTTGCACATTTGACTAAAAAATCTTGCTTTACAGACATGTAATGGTGGTAATTATGCGATTGTGAATGCCCGTGACATTCGTCTTCTTTGGTGCAAAGTGCACAATCATCCAATAGAAGAATTAGAACCAGAATTGATTAATTATCAATCAGAACAAATTGATATAGACCGTATGACGTTGAAGAATGAGAACGTTCCGTTGGTTGTGAACGGTTTAACACTGAGAAATTACCGTTCGTATGAAGAATTTTATATATGTCGTCAATGCGGTAAGGTCTATTGGCAAGGAACACATTGGCGGCGCCGTGCTGGTTTTCCTCAGCTTCAATCGAATGTCGAAGTGAAACAGATCGAGAAAGACGATTCCGATAGTGATGATGGGATTGTTTTCTACGATGCTGAAAGTACTTTGTGATAGTTTTTCTAATAACGAAATTTTTGTGTTTATTTATACTGGAACAATTTATACTCGTTTTTTTTTGTTTTCTTTTTCAAGATAAAACATGAGAGTGCGACTACATAATACAAATAATAAACTTGCTCCGAAATGGAAAAAACACGGCGCAAGTTCATCGAATCCATCTCGAACGAAACACCGCGATGCTGCAAAACTTCAATTATTAGCATCGTTACCTTCATCGAAATCAACATCCATGGACATTCCATCGTCATCAACACTAGCAGCTGCCAAACATGAGATAGACCGAATATCTCAATATTCAAAAACAACTGTTGGTACAGCAATGACCAATGCATCAATGATACAAGTCAATCCACGTGTTATTCAGGTGAGTGTCTAAACTGTTTCTTCATAAATGAACAATGGAATGTTACCTTTCGTGTTTAGACATTGCTCGATCGTCAACCAGCTAAAAATGATCAACAACAGATGATTGTTTGGTTGGATGGTATCTGTCGAGCATACTGTGCTTTTCATCGTTCGGATTCTGCTGCCTGTCTGAATTTTATTTCGAAATTATTTGAAATCTGTATTAATGAATGTCTTCTCTCTGTTTACAAACGCGTACAAACCAAAGCAACTAATGTTCTCAAAGTAATTTCGCGTAAACTGTTCCAAACAACGCTTCTCATTTCTTTCTTTTCTGAAACTAGACAATTATCAAAACTATTCTAAAGCCTCAAATTGAAGCATTACGTTCTAGTCTATTATTAAAACAATTATTTCAACTTGTGGAGCATGGATTAACCTATGCTTACACATTGTCATGGAATTATGTTCTAAACTTACTTGGCGACATGTTTGAACTAATGGGAAAAGATTACTTCGAATTCTGCCAAAAAGTATTCCTAAAAAACTTCATTCACCATTGATTTCATTTCTGCTTGGTTCTTTTTTCAGTGTTTATCGTCATTATCTGGTTTGCGAGCAACAAAAGATTTCTCATTTTTGCCCGAATTAGACTCGACGGTTGGTAAAGCAATCCGTGTATTTGGTCCGAAAAATATCTTGCAAGTTATCCCACTGAATCTAACTGGCACAATCAATGATGTTCAATTAGAACAGTCATGGTTACTCCCGTTACTCAGAGATAATATAGCACACACGGAATTGAATCATTTTGTGTCTTACTTTTTACCGATTGCATTTCAATTACAAACAACTGGTGAGTTAGTTCTTTCTTCTGTCGCGATGCGAACGATATCTGGTATCTTTTTTTTCAGCGGATAATCTTCGTGAAAAAGGCGATTCAACGAATGCAACTGTTCTATCGACCTTACAAGATCAAATTTGGTCGTTATTTCCGGGCTATTGTTCATACGCAACCGATATTTCCACCAGTTTGAAATTAGTTGCCAAAGGTATTGGCACATCATTGACTAAACGGCCAGATTTGAGATTGCATCTCTTGGCTGGCCTACGAAATCTGATTTCCAAAACAAATGATGGTAAACTTTGAAGACTAGTTCCTCATGAAATTCGTGACGTAATTTTCTTTGATCAATTTAGAAAATGATCAACAGGAAGTCGCTAAATACGCGAAAAATTACCTCCCGTTATTATTCAACATGTATACAAGTGAAAAATGGAACATGTCACGCGATCCAGTTCGTCAGAGTGTCTTTGAAACAATTAAACGTTATCTAATGATTACGGATTCGGTATTATGTCAGCAATTCTTTGATCGAAGTTTAGAAAAAACTCAAAATGCTGATATTGATCAAATAACATTGTATGTCATTCATAATTGGTAACAATACACTGCTCTTTTGTCTCTCTATTCTAGAACTTATTTGCTCGATATTGTATTGGCTTTGGTACCTTACTTGGATGAGAAACGTTTGGAATTGTTAGAACAAAAATTGAAACAATTGTTCGCAGTGGTATGTAGAAAGAAGACACGATGACATTTGTTTGTACGGATATGTTTAGAAGGATGGAACTGTTAAGCGAAGTGTGATGAAAAAATCGTACCGAATTCTAGAAGAATTATGTACGCGTTCGACATTGACTATTCAACAGTTTTTGAATGAAACTCGCGCAAACATTCTACTCGAACATCTTCTTGCTTCATTAACCAAATCACAATCAGCTTTGAAAGGCGTATGTTCATCGATTTAACAGATCATCTGATTAACTCTGAAATTTTAGTCACAAATTCGGTGTATCTCAAGTTTACTTGACATGCCCACTAACCAAACAGTTGCAAAGATCAAACAAATCGTACCACAAGTAAGCAATGCCACTCCCCGCCTTGATCCTTTCAACATCTTTTCACTTCAGGCAGTTCAATGTCTTCATGAAATCAACAGCCGTACGAGACATGACGCATATTTACTCATTATCAAATGTGCACGACTTTGGACAACATTAAGTGAACATTCGTTTATCGGTAAGATCGATTGGTTTGAAATTGTAATTCATATTCTTCGTGTAATTTCTTGTTCTAGATTCTCTGACAGGTTTCTTTCATTTTCTCATGGCTGGTCTTGTCAGTCCTCATTCGCCGTCGATGACATCAGCTACTGTACTTGCTATCAGTCGTTTATGTTTGGAATTTCGAGAAAATATCGCTGGCTCGATCGTCGATGAATTGGTGTCGACATTGATATTAATACTTCAGTCGAAAGAACGACAAATCGTTCAAGCAGCTCTAAGTTTCTGTCGAGTATTACTAATTATTCTCAACGAAACCATTCTGTCAAAATATATTGATCAATTGGTAAGATATTCATTCAAGAGATGTCTTCGATTAAATTTTTATTTGTTGTATCTCTAGGCCCATGCATTGACAGTCATGCGAGAAGAAAATAATTTTACTTATCGTTCAAAACTCAAATTAATCTTACAAAAACTTGTTCGAATATTTGGGTACGTTAACATTAGTTTCTTTCCATGAAAGAATACCACCCGACTTGCTTTTTAGATTTGATGCATTACGTGATTTATTTCCAGCTAGTTTTCATCCTCAAATGTCTTATATAAACAAGATGCATGCACGCAAAGAACGACGCCGTAAAGGAACATCAACTATCGGTCAAAGCATCATCACAAAAGTTGATGATGATGACGAATATGTCGATGATAACGAAACAACATTCACTGTTCGACCGAAACTTACCATTGATCAGTTACTTGACGACTCCGACGATGACAATGATCAGCATCTTGGAAGAATCGATGACACTCGAACGATTGCCACAGCACGAACAACAGCAAGTACAAAACGACGACAACAAAAGTCGGCTCTATGGATTAAAGAAGCAAACGAAGATGATCCTCTTGATTTAACAGAGCCAACAGCAGCAAGAAGTATCTATGGTATGTTAGCACTCGTGCTATCTCGTTAGGCTTGTTTTTTGCACATATCGCGCTATGTTTTAGCCACAAAACCGTTGACGGAACGTGAGACTGAAGCAATGAAACAAGCCTCCAGAGCTAAACGACAGAACTCTAGATTCCGTAGCGCACCTGATGGTCGTCTTATCATTGACATCGACGATGAAGACGATCAACAACGACAACAACAAGAATCCGACTTTGATGATGATGACGATATGAATCGCGAGGATATCAAAGATTTAATGGAAACATTGTCTTTAAGTCAACGCGCAAAAAATAAACGAAAACGTGCTCAGAAAGAAGACGATGACGACGATGACGACGAAGACTACCAATTCAATGACAAGAAAAGTCAGAGTGTTCATTCAAAATATCGAGGTTAGTCAAAGCGTAAAAGTAAACGATATAGTTCACTCCACTTTCTTTGGTTCACTAGCTGGTGGCGGTGGTATTCATCGGCCATTAAATCAACCTAATAAGCAACGACCAGGTGAAGCTTATAAAACCAAGGTAGATGGAAAACATCGAATATTTGAGTTTTCTATCGTAAATTATGTCTTATAGCGTGGAGCGGGTGGTGATCGTAAATTGGCTAATAAACATGATCCATATGCTTATATTAAACTCGATTTTAACGCACTAAACAAGCGGTAAGACGATGATGTTTCTATGTTTGTATTCATTCCTTTTTTCTGTTCATAGAAAACGAGGTAAATTCAAAGGTCAATTTGAACAAATTGTTGGCGCAGCTAAACGCGGTGCAAATCGTGGTGCTAAATTAGGCGCCAAAGAACGACACCATAAGAAGAGTGTGAAGCGTTTGAAGAAATAACCGATCTTTCAGTTGTTGTTTGTTTTCTGTTTTCTAATTGTTACATCACGTTTTGTTTAGAAAGAAAAAAATAGATTCGTTACCAACATCTCCGAACTTTCTCTCTCTTTTTCTTTTGCTCTCCTGTGCATATTCTCAAGAACAAATTCTGATGGAATGAGAAAACCTGCTAGCGAATTTAATGAATATCACTGATTAATAGACAAATAGAAAGCAATAGGAAAAACAAAGACAAAAAGAAAAACGAGGGATGATTTTTCAGTCAACTTCTTCAACTCGTGGACCGGAATGTCCAGCGCTCGTACTTTGACTTCGACTGTATTGTTGTTGTTGTTGTTGTTGTTGTCCACCGGCGCCGCCGCTATGCATTTTGGTCATAATACGTTGACATTTTCTTTCAATATCCGCATACTGATGCTCGATTTCTTCTTTGTCAGCTAATAGGTTTCTATCTAACCATCTTTGCACTTCTTCACAACTACTGATCACTGTTGACTTTTCGGCATCGCTTATCGCTGTTCCATTATAATTCTCCACTGCTAGTTTACATGAATACAGATACGTTTCCAGATGATTACGGGCATTAACACGATCGCGTGTACGTTCGTCGTCTTCACGATATTTTTCAGCATCGTTTATCATACGTTCTATCTCAGCTTGTGTTAAACGACCTTTATCATTTTTAATTTCAATTCTTTTATTTCGTCCTGTACTTTTGTCTTCAGCAGTGACTTGAAGAATACCTTTAGCAAAGAAAGAGAAAGAAAACATATGCAAAAAGTGAAATTGGACATCTTATACATTACCATTGGCATCTAAATCGAATGTCACTTCAATCTGCGGTATGCCACGTGGTGCCGGTGGTATACCTTCCAAATCGAATTTGCCTAATAGATGATTGTCTCTTGTCATAGATCGTTCACCTTCATACACTTGAATCGTTACTGCTGGCTAAAACAATTTCAACTTCTTCAATCGATTACAAATGTATTCTCGAACTCTTACTTGATTGTCTGCGAATGTTGTAAACGTCTGCCCCTTTTTGTACGGTATGCGTTGATTACGTTCAATCAATCTTGTCATCACACCACCAGCTGTTTCAATACCCATTGATAATGGTGTAACATCAATGAGTAGTACATCTCGAATCATTTCACTTTGATCACCTGAAAATAGTTTAGACATCGGAGTTTCGAAAAAAAAGAATCGTTCTTTCTGTGTATTTTACCTCTTAGAATAGCAGCTTGTACGGCAGCTCCGTAGGCAACAGCCTCATCAGGATTAATATTCTTATTTAAAGGTTTTCCGTTGAAAAAATCTGATAAAAGTTGTTGAACTTTAGGTATACGTGTCGAACCACCAACTAAAACCACTTCTTCAATATCACGTTTTTGTAATTTGGCGTCACGAAGTGCTTGTTCAACAGGGCCAATCGTCCCACGAAACATATCCTATTTGTAAAAAGAATCAGATTATTATTATTATACAGACAATTTACCATATTGAGTTCTTCGAAACGTGCACGACTTATTTGTGTATTAAAGTCGATTCCTTCGAAAAGTGAATCTATTTCGATTGACGCCGTTGTCGATGATGATAGTGTCCGTTTCGCCCGTTCGCATGCACTGCGTAAGCGTCGAACAGCTTTGGTATGTTTCGAGACGTCTTTACCGTGTTTTCGACGAAATTCTTCGACAAAATGCTGCACCAACCGATTATCAAAATCTTCGCCACCTAAATGTGTATCTCCAGCTAAAATAAACAAATAGTTTAGTCATCAATTTTTCAAATACGATCGCTCATACCAGTTGCTTTAACTTCAAATACCGAACCGCCAACATCACCACCACTGATTGTTAAAACTGACACATCGAATGTACCGCCACCCAGATCATAAATGAGTATATTCTGATCACGATGGAGTTTCTTTTCAAGACCATAAGCAAGTGCCGCCGCTGTTGGTTCATTTATAATACGGAGAACGTCGAGACCAGCTATTGTACCAGCATCCTTCGTCGCCTGAGAAAGATTTCCGTAACTAGAAAGTATCCATGTAGCTCTTACCTGTCGTTGCGAATCATTGAAGTATGCAGGAACAGTGACAACGGCTTGTTTAATAGGAATGCCAAGAAATGCTTCAGCTGTTTCTTTCATTTTGGTTAATACCATCGAAGAGATTTCTTCGGGAGAAAAAAGCTTTAAGAAACAAACAGAAACTCAACATATTGGTGGGTAAACGCGATGACCTATACTTTTCTTTCGCCCTTGTATTGAACTTCAATGAATGGTTTACGGTCTTTTCCATGGACCACTTTAAATGGCCATAATTTGATATCTTTTTGTACAGTTTCATCATCAAAACGTCGTCCAATTAAACGTTTCGCATCGAAAACTGTATTCGATGGGTTCATTGCTGCTTGACTTTTCGCTCCATCGCCAATCAAACGTTCTGTATCTGTGAATGCGACATAGGATGGTGTTGTACGATTTCCTTGGTCATTGGCGATGATTTCAACTTTACCATGTTGAAATACACCCACGCATGAATACGTTGTGCCTAAGTCAATTCCAATTGCTTTGCTATGTCTACTCGATCCGCCACGCGACATGATCTGAACTTTATCGTATATGAAATATGTAATCGCAAGTCAGATTTAGAAAATAGATGAACAGCAAGCAAGCGCGTAAACCTACACTACCCGCGTAATAAGCTTGCATTTACTTTCTCCTTCGTGATGAATAAGATATATATATATAACGGTGAGATGGTCACCATCATCATTATCTTCGTACATAGGCAAACTCAAGGCGAGATATAATGCAAATCGATGTGACAGAGAGAAGAGAAAGAAGAAGACTATTACGTGAAAGATGAAGACTGATTCGCTTATGCGTATCTGCATATATAAACATTTTCGATGTTCATAAAAATGAAAATAACGTCAAAGAAAGACAAAACGAAAAAGTGACTTGAGACGACATATACACATTTGATCAAAATATGAGACATATATTTCTCGCTATGCATAGAAGAAAGAAATCTATACAAAGAAATTTATTCTTCATCAAACTTGAACATGACATACAAAAGAATACGCATATGTATATGAAAGTAAAGGAGTTCGTTATTTTTAGCCAACTGTTCGTTGGAATTTCATTCGTAGTAGCAAAACAATGAAACTTATAAGCTGTAATCCACCGAACATAGCAAACAGTAAACCCAAATTGCGATTGTAATTGCTCTAAAAAACATTTACGAATTATGAAATCAGAAAGTTTATTCTTCGTTTAGCAAACCTCTTTGAAACCGTAATAATTGAGAACGTCAGTACCATTTTTAAAACAAGCATCAGCCGGTGCAGTACCACAATCGATTGATGTGACATCTTTCCACTGATTAATCAGACCCATTTCATTTCCATAGTATAACCATGAGATATACTTGAGCCAAATGAGCCAGTTAGGTATTGTTCTAAATAAACAATACGAATCATGTGTTTGAATACGGATAATTCTCTGCACAAACTTTGCATTAATAAAAAAACCAGCGAAAACAAATAGCGGAAGAACAACGGGTACAATCAATGCTGCAGCTGCGTCAGGCGTTGGCATCGAAACTCCAATGAGGGTTCCTGATAACGAAAAGAATATACCAAGCATGTATCTTTCTTTTCGCATTCACACTTACCCACAGAAACCGAAACAATTCCACATAAGATCAGAATACCTTGCAATATGAAATAATGTTGTGTATTATCATATAAATTTGCCATCCAATACACAATAGTTCCTAATATGAATATCGACAGTGCACATGAAGGTAGTTCTAGAACCATTCTCGCAATATAATAAGGCAGAGTGCGGTAGATTCCATCGTCGTGTTCTTTCAAAACTAGTGGTAGCTGTCGATTGATACCCTACAAGAGAAAAGAATTCAGAAAACGATATTGAATTTTCAAGTTCGGAAATTACATCAGCGTTTTTTTGAACAGTTGAAAATGCAATGTTAACAATTAATACCATAATAACAGCTGAGATATTTTGAAATGCTTGTTGGTTATATTCCAAACGTAAGAAGACCAGACCAAAAAGGATCGAAAGGACAATCGAGATCAACAAACGTAAGCGTAACTCAAATGGATTGCGAAATGTATCAATCGTTGAGCGCCATAATAGCCAAGTAAGCTGACGAAAGAAGCCAGCTTTATATCTAAAAAGCAAAAACATATTTTGTTAGAAATAAGTTTCTCGATTTTCTCTATCGCTACAAACTTTGGTGAGCGATTGAACACACTACTAAGTGTATTTGTTTGATCATCATCAATAGTATGATATTGCTCTGCTTCTCCCACATGTTGAGCATATAGCGGAGTTTTTTCATATTCATCACAAATATGCTGATCAAGAAGACAACAAGTCAATATATCAAAGTAACTCGCTCACGCTTACTTCAACTCGTTCAAGTGATGCTTCTCTATCGAAAGGTAAGATTGCAAGTGTTTGGATATAGAAATCTGAGAGATTATAGTTGGCTGGAGCATTATAACCCAAACTAAATACAAATATTCAGTTAGAATTTCTATTCTGATATCGAGAATCTTTTCAACTAACCTGCCAAAGAAATCCTGAGCTTTCTTTCTTGATCCAAAATAAGCAACACGACCTTCAGCTAACAGATACAATCTGAACAAGATATTCGTTCAGCTTGATGAAAAAGAAACAGTTGTGAAGAGAACTTACGTGTCGAACAATTCGAAAATTTCACTTGATGGCTGATGAATGGTGCACACTATGGTTTTCCCCTGGTTACATAACTTACGCATTGCATCACAAATCACAAACGCCATGCTTCCGTCAAGACCTGATGTTGGCTACAATCGAATCAGATCGTTCGTAATCATCTACCTTTACTACCAAATCGACACTTACTTCATCAGCAAACAGTAATGGTGGATCAGTCATCACCTAGATACCGATAGATGAATGTTTGGTCATATTTGGCAAACAGTATCGTATATGATTATCCTACTTCGGAAGCAAATAATAGACGTCGTTTCTCACCACCGGATAAACCTTTGATACGACCCGTCTCTCCAATTACGGTTTTTTCTACTTTCTTCAAATTCAACTGCAAAACAATAGAAAAACTAGTTAACAACAAAAGTTTGCTCTAATCTAGATAAGATCTTACAAAATCAAGTAGTTCGTTAACACGAGCAACTCGGCGATCTTTGGTAACGTCGCGATTCAATCGTAACATGGCCTAGAATCAAGGAATAACGATAATAATAGAGAGAAAGAGAGTTCGCTGAAATAAAAATCTTACATGAAAATACAAATGTTCCCGAGGTGTCATTGACGGTATGAACAATTCTTCTTGCTGCACGTATCCTGACACTCGATTAATATGCCGACCCATTTTTGTCCCGTTCACTCTTACATCACCAGTCACTGCCAGATTACCGGGTCGGCGTTGAGTTAAAATATTTAGTAACGTGGTTTTTCCAGCACCACTAGCACCCATAATTGCCATTAACTGTCCTGGCTTAGCAATACCGCTAACTATAGCAAACACAATACAATAGCTTCTCTGAGAGAAAAGGCACGCTTTTCTGATTACTGACCTCCTTTGAGTAACATCTTTGGCTGGCCAACTTCTTTCCAGGGACAGAATGCTTTGGTTAGTGTTCGTTTTATACCTTTATCTTTCGGTGGTGCTTCAGCTTTTAGGTCGAGCCATGTGAGAGTGACTGGTGGTGAAGCGAAGTCGATTTTACTTATTCCAGTTTCATCGCTATTCGCCGGTGTAGATGGCTGTCGTTTACCATATGGAATACCGTGTTGAGCAGGCAGATCGGCTTGACGTCGGAGATACTGATACCATGCAAGATCGTGTTGTCTGTTCGCAAACCTCTGTTCACGCCATGTCATGTTCTATAAAATAAAATACAAAGTAAGAATTGGACAAGAGAAGAGAATACACCGTTTCATACATTTCGTCGGACGTAGTCTCCCAAAGTGCTGACATTCTGATTACGAAAGTGGCCTTTGTTGTGAACCTTTTGTTGCATAGCCTAATAGGAAAAGAACATTCGGTTTGATTGGAAAATGTTTATAGCTTATCACACTTACCATGTATGTTTTCAAAGGGTGTTTCCTCTATGGAGTGTCGAAAACAAACGAAATGAAATCGAAAAAACGAAACGATAATTATATCCAATTCAATTATCATACTTCAAGGGCCTCTCAAATGCATGGAAAGAATCAATGAACTGAAACGATAACCTTTATCGTACTTCTCAAGCCTTTAAGTGCGCACAGGTGTCGTATGATGTAATTTTTGTTTTTCCTTCGCGTTCTTATTTATTATCAACACTATCACAGAATAAAAACATGTTTATTCTTTTATGAATGTCAGTAATGTTCTTTTTGTTACCCGTACTTTACTTTCGGTGTTACGACGTAAGGTTAAGAGAACGGTTATTCGTGTATAAACTGATAATTGTGCTTTCTACTCGCAATAAGAAGAGAATTACCTCACTTACAATTCCACTTTGTGTGCATTCTCTCTAATTTGTCTTTCAAATAATTCAATATTCAGTCATTTAATTTCTGAAATAGTGATAGATGACATTTTTATTTTTTCTCAACAAGATGAACACAACGAAAAAAGCACAAGGATTATTTCACAAATATTCGAATACAGATACACACGTACATATAAAGAGAATATTATTTTATGTATTCATTCGTTATTTGGACAAAAAAGTAACAAATACACAAGACGTAAACAACAATAACAATACCAAAAAAAAGACTGCCTATATGTGTAAATACTTTTTTACTCGATTGACTATCTAATGATGTTCGTGTTGGAGTAAACGAAGTTCACTTGCGTCGCCGTTACCATTAGCTAAGAGACCATTCGTATGTCCATTACCAACTGAGGACATACCATTGACGAATTCGCCAGCAGGTATAGGTCCTGTTGCTTGTTCCGAGTAAGTGTTGATTTTAGTTTCTTTACCTGGTTCATTCATGATTGTTGTTGATGCCGTTTGAGATGAACATGTTACAGGAATTGTAGCAGCTGCTGCTTTGTCAACGACTACAACTGGTGCAGAATTATCGAAAACATCTTTCTTGTAACGACGACGAAACGCCAAATAATAAAGACATGTTAACAGAAAGATCAATGCAAGAATGCAAGATAATAAGCCAACAATCTATTGAAAGATGACATAGAATGAAATTCAGAATGAGTTCATTGTTACATACCACAGCATTCCATCCAACTCCATAGAAGTGTGAGAAGAATACTGGATGAACTGGTGGACACGGTGTGCCGAATCGATTCGATGTGTCCAAAACTTGGCCAGGTACTTCCGAGGAGCCCATTCCTAAAATGAATGGTTGATTTCGATTTGTAATGTTGGTGAAGAATACATACGATTAACAGTAGTCGTGTAAAATGTACGTGCAGTTGGTGCTGCCATTGATTGATATTTCAAGAAAGAAGAATGATTTCAGATGAATAGGAAAGAAATGAAATGACGACCGTTGTTTGCTCTTCTTTCTAATACAATGAATCGGACACGAAAGAGAGAAG